TATCATTAAATTATAATTTTGCAAAAATAATGAAAAGGCTTATAATGTGCCTCCTTCTTCTGTTTCACAGCAATTTTAATAACCATGCCCTATTTTTTGTTGCAGGTAAGACATGCACGAGCAGACATGTAGACCATCAACTCTTCAACATATCTATGAAACATATATTGCAGATTGTCAGTTAAGTACCCCAATATGATTAATAATAATTTATCTTAAAGCATCCACTATGTCTTTGTGTATGGTCCAAAGGTTCTAAGACATTGGCAATTTTTAGTTATTATGAAGAAAACCTTTAGTTTTGTATTAAATGAGTAAGAGCAATACCCACATTGTGTGAAAAGCTAAAAATGGCCAAATAGTGTCTTAGAACCTTGCGGTGTCGCGCAAAAGATGTACGAATGAACAAACCATCGCGGGAATTGAATTGTCACATGTGTTAATTGATTCAACATTTCTTCGAACAATTCGACAGAGGCACTTGGTCCACAAATGGTACGAAATACATAAAAGGATCCAAAAAATTAGTATCAATACCCAACTCAAAAAATTAGTAATTATTAATAAATAACCACCACCCTTGTAATTTTTCATCTCTTTTATTGCAAAACCATTGAAATCCGAAAAGAATTTAGTCACGAAGGAAGGTGTATTGAATTCCTCTCTAAGATTCTAATTGATATCTTTTACACTTCATCAGCTGTCTCTCAAGGTGAACTCTGAAGCTATTCCCAAAAGTATTATTGGTAAATATTCTCAAAATGTTTACGCCCACTAATAGTAGATAAAGAATTGATTATCGACTTGATTATAGGAAGTTGTGAAGTGGATGGAAGAGACAGGTGACAAAAGAGATAGCAATCTGGAGTACTACTCCATTCCCAAATCTGCGATCAGAAAAACGATTATTTGTGACATATTTTCACAAACAAATAATAAACAAGCATGAAAAATTATTCGCGTCCGATTTCATAAAACCTTTTTTTTTAATTTCCCCCCGAATTTTGATACTTTTTAATCTTCTTATTCTGTAGTATAATAATAATAATAATAATAATAATAATAATAATAATAATAATAATAATAATAATAATAATGTATTTGGGCAACATCATCACAAGGAAAGAACATAAGATAAACCTTTTTGAATAAACTGGGTGGAAGGGTGGAAAGGGTGGAATTGCCCTTCAATTAAATCAAATTATGCCTTATATATTCTTCAATGTAGAAATTCATTTAAGAAATCTCGTTTGCAATGAAACATGAATGTTATAGTAAGATCTAAATGTAAAGATGATTATGTAAAACGTCAAAGGGTCATAATACCGAAATTATAAATATTTTTATTCTATTTCAAAATCATTTAAAATATTAAACATCCTATTAGCTGACATCTCCTGCATCTTTAATATGAATACATACCATTATATCAAGGCTGAATCTACAAATATAGAAGATGATGCAAGATATAACAGACCTAAGAACTGAGAATTGCGCTGATACAATACAGAGATCGTCAAAATAAAGAACCGAAAGCTCCAAATAATGAAAATACAGGGAATATTATAAATGTTAGGATCGGAGTGGTTACTCATTCGCTTACTTGGATTGGCTGAATGTGTGATGACTCGACTTCGTGCCATAAACGGCTAATACGTCATAACCTGTGCCATAAAATGCAATTTTATGAACAATTTCTCGAAACGAAAAGGGTAGTATAATGCTCGTCTATAAATCGCGCAGTGTCGAAGCCATTGTCGCGGTTCCTTTGAAGCCCACTCCTTCCCACAGCGTGTAAGAGGACGCTAGCCGGGAACGAATCGTTCTTCCTCGGAGGGGGCGGGGCTCTTCGTGGCCGACAGGTGGCGCCTGCAGGCGCTCGAGCGCGGCGCGGCGGAAGCGGGAGGGCGCCCGGAAGCACGGTGGCCGCCGCTGCAAACTGCGCCTTCCACTCGCGACCCCCTCCGCTCTGACTCACCGCCTTCCTCGGCAAACGTCTCGGAGGCGGCGGGCAGGGGGCGGTGGAGCGGGGAAAGGCGAGGGGAGCGGGAAGCGATTCACCTCCAGGGCACGAACCGCCATTCGAGATGACGCTGGAAGAGATCATGAGACCACGGATTCTGATGCCTTAAAAATTCTTTGAAAATGACCTATAAAATTACTTAAAAATAATGGAAAAATGACCTAACGTTTTAAAAAATACTAAAATATTTGTATCAAAATGTTAATTTATTAATGAATTTTACTATACTAAATAGGATTTTCTTTATATATAATTATAGTTTATAAAGTCTTTATTTTAGGGGGGAAATATAATCCTAAGCTCCGTTCTTCCAACCGTCAGTTTCGAAAGGCCCAGAATGTTACAGAAGATCCGTGTAATTTTGTGAGTTCGAAAAAACAGACTCCATTCCAGTGAGAATTTCATCGTGAACTCATGATATAATAAAAACTGTTTTAGTATGTCATTCATCGAACATTCACTAACAGAATCACAAAAAGGAAACAAAGTGCGCAAAGCTGACGCAAAGGCTCACAAAATGTCCTGAAAATTGAAAAATGGCGTAAAATTAAAAAAAAGACTACTTATTTCTATCACTACACTACACTATATGTCGTGGTAAACATTGATTTACAAATTAGCCATGTCTAGAATGCACCAATGAAAAGATGACACGACTGATCATCAATCTAATTCCAAACATACGCCCGAAATCTTTGTGTAGCTTCAATGCTAACTCGTTCTACTGCTCCACTGTTTTTCCATTAGCATTGGAGGTCTTCTTGTTCTCCTCAAAATCAATAGCGTATCTATAGATCGGCAAATAACTTGTTTTAGAATAGAATTCTATGGAAATAATTTGATATGCGCATATACAAGTATGTTTAAAGCAAATTGCAGACGTCAAAGGCCGTAGGCGTCATCGACAACTTTGACACTACGCTCTTGAGTGTGTATTTTGCGGGTCAGTGTGATAATTTTTGCCGTAAGTGTAGGGAAACGCGGAAGGTAGCAACGTCCCTCCCACGAACGCGAGATTCGGCGTCCAATTATGTGGCGACCTGGGGGTGTTCTTGCCAGCGTTCAGCACAAGTTCAGCGTTCCCGACTGGCCGAAAAAGGGTTTGTGGGAAGGGGGAGAAAGAGGAGGAAGGATAGATTGCGCTCGTTACTTGGCCCGTTTGTTAGGGTACTGCTCCGGCATTCACTTGGTATTGATTGGAGAAACCAAGGAAAACTACAGATCAAAGCAGCCAACTGCTAAAATTCCTGACCAGAAAGTGGGTAAAATCGAACCAAATACGAAGCTACTGACGATAATTCGTCACCATTGGGACTCAAATCCTGGGTTCTCTGGGGGAATGGACGCTGCAGATGAGGTAATAATTGACATTGAGCTGCTCTAGCCGGCCAAGGGAATGCTATTGATATTTCCGATAACTCCTTATTATAAATTATTAATTTTCTGCAGTTGTAGTTATAGAAATTCTTTCTCAAAAAAGATCAAATGAATAATCTAAAATGAATATCCTAAACATATGCTCTGACTACTCAATCGCCTGATACTTTGATGACTTGTGACAAATGCTCCTGTAAAGAAAATTAAGATGGAGACAACAGGTGTCACTCCATTCAGACTTACGACACACGCATCACCAGAAAAAACGGTGATAAGATACAAGATGAACATGACAGAAGTTTAGATATCAGGGAAAGCGAAGTTCAAGTGGAACCAACGAAATTTTGGCAGACAAAGCAACAGCTCACGTCAAATTACATGAGAGATCACTGTATTATATCTTTAAGGATTACTGAAAATTTGATGTCGGGCTAATTCTCGAGACGCAATATACGGTTTAGGAAAATCCCTATTCAGTCACCAAAGACTAGAAACTGTCAAGTTGGTAAAATCATTAATATGCAGTTTAATCCCCGTTTCTGGACATATGGAAAGACTACGCTATTTCTCTTGGAGTAACTGGATCTCATCACTGACATTTCACTTTGTGACACAGATTCTGAAATTGCACAATACTTACTGAGAAGTAATTAATGTCATCACGATTAATGCAGGAGGCAAACTGAACTAACTGCATTGTTATTTTTCACAATTTTTCTAACGTTAAGCAAGGTGTTCGTGTACTATTACTTAAAGATGCAACGGTTAAAATTAACATATTGAATGATACACTGCTTTTCATTTCGAGAATCAGAAGTAAGTGGAGTTTGAAAACCCAGGTTGAAAGCAATAAACAATGGTATGCATTCTACATGTATTCTGAAAATGGTATTAAAAACTTCGTAATTTCGTAAAGAAGAATTTATCATTGATGTATGTGTATATTTCACATACTGAGGTAATCAATTGTTACCCACCAAACAAAGACATTTTGGCTGCAGGTTGAGGATCGAAAACTATACTGATAGTTTCAATTGCAAATTTATTTAAGTGTCAATCAAAATTAGATATTTCAGTACTTCTATGGGTCATAATTACAACCACCTACAATATCTTGCAAATTGCCATTGGGCTTCTCATTTAGACTACTCCGTCTGAGAGAAAACCGCGCGGAATCGAATCCAAAGACATAGCGTAAGGAGGAGGAGTGAGAAGGAGGAGGAGGAGTGAGAAGGAGGAGGAGGAGTGAGAAGGAGGAGGAGGAGGGAGAAGGAGGAGGAGGGAGAAGAAGGAGGGCCTAAGGAGGAGGAGGGCCTAAGGAGGAGGAGGGCCTAAGGAGGAGGAGGAGGGCGTAAGGAGGAGGAGGAGGGCGTAAGGAGGAGGAGGGCGTAAGGAGGAGGAGGGCGTAAGGAGGAGGAGGGCGTAAGGAGGAGGAGGGCATAAGGAGGAGGAGAGCATAAGGAGGAGGAGAGCATAAGGAGGAGGGAGAGGAGGGTGGAGGAGGGAGAGGAGGGCGTAAGGAGGAGGAGAAGGGCGAGAGTGTTGCGTCGAGAATCCTGGTGAGTGACGCAGGCATTCGTGTGGGAGCCACGCACTATGGTCATTGTCCCGCCCCGCGTCTCGCCGTTGAATGGGCCGGGCGCACCCCGCTGCCACGTCAGCGTCGCCGCACGCGCCCACCTCCGCCTCTGCCCAGCGGAAATCCCGCTCCCTCATCCTCAGAAACGACGCTCGCCATCGACAGAACGCTATCGATTTGGTGTTATGGCGTGACTGGTTCAGTCGAGTAATAGTGTGATTTCACCTGAAAAAGACATCATTGTTGCTAGTCATGTCAGAGCTTAGGAGCTCTTCAACTGCTTAAGTCATTGAGCGATCTAATAAATAGATAATAGTGATAATGATAATTCAGTGAATGATGATGGAACAATATTGAAATGAGAGGCTGGAGAATCTGTAAATCCCTTAGAAATATCTTGTGCGAGAGCTTGGGTTGAGTTGAGTCCAACTCTGAAGCTTCTTAGGCTGGGAGGTTCTATGTTCGAAACCCGACATGTTCGAATTTTCGTCACGAGCTAAACAGTTGCATCGAATCACAGGATTGTCTAAATGACCCTTGCTCTAATGATTGCTTTAGTGGTTTTCCATCACCCATTCCAGACGGAAGCTGAAGATTTAACTCCAACAGCGGACCGTGCGCTGCATTTCCATTCTCATCCTGTCGCCGTGCATTCTGTGCAAGGATCGAAGCCCATTCACTTCCCTTTGATTCAAAAAGTGCGATGGCAATAGCGAATGGGAAATTATGTGAGAGCTGTAAGACATCCGAAATAACGAAAAATATGAATATTATATGTATATTATCGAATATGTATATTATCGAATCTGAAATCCCAATATTTTCAATATCTTTTAGTTTCGACACAGATGGGAAAATTAACGAATCTATTGTACATGGTCGAGCAACTGAAGTTGTGTCATCCACAGGTGGCATCAATTTTTTTTCTATTTAACAGCAATATTTGTCATTACAAAAACCTAAAAACAAACGAAACCCGCACGTTTTGTATTTTTACTTCCTTTTTCAATACACTATCTTTTTTGTGATAATTTACTCGTAAGTGTTGTTTCTTTGGCGACAGTTGAGCTCATCCTAGTCGATGTTGTCGACCTCCGCTGTCGTAGTCGTTTTGTCGTTTAGTGCCGCAACTTACCGTGGGAGTAACGTGGCCAGTGACCTGGTGGGTTCACAATTTTAATGGAGATGGTCCTATTGTGTCCTTTCCTTTCATTCGTGCATACTGCTTTTGCCTCGGCTTCCACTTTCACTTCGAGTAATAGCGAAGACACAGGCAATTGAAGCTTAGCCATGCGAACTAATTTCACAGGAGTTCTACATGCAAGGAAAACCACAAATTTTTGCAGTACTTCCGAAGTAGAGATGATAGTCTCATGCATTTATTTTCAATAAAGGAATTTTTTAGATTCACACTAAAATGATAATTAATTATTAATTGCCACGAGTGTGCAGAAGAGTTTGGAGGAATTAGAATTGCATTCGCTTAACGTATGAAAAAAACGCGTTGCATTCTTTCTTTGTGTGCAATGATACTTGCAAGTAAACTGACACAAACTAAATGCTTTGATTTTCCGTTACATAAATCACAATGATTATTTATTGTGACAGTATAATTGTCTATTTACTTCAAGTTCTTGTTTACATTTCTTCTTGCTTATAATGCCGAACCATAATGAAATAACATTTTTTATATAAAATCATGTTTACCTGAATAGGCTGGTATTTTCACATTAAACTTGTTTATTCTGGAATTTTTTCACTCTGTTTCGGACTGTGTTTTTGTGCTTATAGAATAATAAGATCTTTAATCTCAGCAATATTCGATTAAGATAGATTTGTACAAATCACTCCACGAGTTATTCATGCACTTGCTGACCAAGTTACTGATACTTCACTAATTATATCTCCATCACTACAGAATCTTTCTTAGTGCCCGCGTTCCAAAACAAATATGTAGACGATAAAAATATTAAGATGCGAAGAGGCCTCCGTTTTCGCCTATTTTATCCAAAATTTCCCATTTCAAAGAAGCGTATCGGTGTCACTAAGAGAAGAGTTTGGGATGAATTAGAATTGCTTTCGCTGAACGAAATGTAAGTCGTTAAGCGAAAACATTTTCCCAATTGCTCCGTCATTAACCGAAAGCCAACACTTGAATTAATTCAAAGCGGTATAAAATACAATACATATTCAAAATTTGTACTTACAACTTGTTATATAAAATCTCGTTTTCTTTGATGATACGTATTTCGAAACACATTGATTTTGGTGAAATACAATTTCATTATGGAATTAATTATTCATGTTTTCAATTTTTTTTCTGTCAAGGTAAGTATTGTATCCTGCCGACGCCAATTAACTTAACACCCAATAGTATTCTATACTAGTGGTAGAACACGTTTTGAATAAAGATGTATCAGCTGTACAAACATATGAGCGACATAATTTGCACATAATCAGTGTTAAAATGGGGAAACGTCTGCACTAGACTTTTAGCGCATTTTATATTGAAAAATACAAGTTGAAAGAGCATAAAAATAACATTTAAGTTCAAATATCATTAACTTAATGGAAACTGGGTAAAATGCCTAATTATTGGTGTGCATGTTTGAGAGCAATGCTGACAGTTGTGACTGCTGTCAGAATGTATTTTCGTCATCAGGTTCGCATTCAAGGGCTGCAAAAAGCAAAGGAAACGCCAAGACTAAGGCCAAAATATAGATAACCGATACAAATTATGTCTTGAGTTTTCTTGAATTCTTTGGAAGAACAAGTAATCGTACGTTTTCATTCGCAACTCATACAAGAAATCGCATGCAAGATTTGACAACAAAAATGATAAGACCAACTGGTAGTGCGTCAAGTCCTGACATTAATACCTTTGTATCGACGGTAACACCTTCGCGAAGGGGAAGCATTCATGCACCCTGTGAAGACTGTGTCACACTTACGTAACCGTTTAGCGGGCGGTTGGGCGTCCACGGGAGGCCCAACACGAGAACGCGAATCCACTCCGAAGGGAGCATGCGAGTCGGCCGGTCCAGCGGGTCTGGTTCCTCTCCCAGAGCGCCGCTTGCCTCATTTCTGCTCTGATTTATTGCCTGCGCAAGGTTCGCCATCGCGAGCTGCACCTGATGCTCGTTCAGAAATCTAGAAATCCCCGCGCCTTACGCAGTCATATTTAAGGATATCGAGATGTAGGTTTCTAATTCGAAGAGTCAAAATACTTTCCTTAAACGGATAGATATAAGAGGTTCGATCTCTTGAGAAACTGTTTATGAGGACCTCAGCAACTTTTCTTTACTAATTGATCATCTAGTGAGACCATCATTCTATTAAAGTAATACAGAGCTTTAATGTAATAAACTTTCCCAGAACCCTTTCGTAATAAAAATTTTAAAATTCAGTTTTCTGAACACACAAAATCTTGTGAATCGTTACTCTTGTTGGCTTAAATCTACTTAACTAGCCCGCAAGATTTTTTAAGCCTCAGTCGTATCTAATTTTGTAAATCGAGCTGGTTGTTCTCGAATCCTTTTAACCTGTGCGAAACAAAACGCACATGAAAGTAAAACTACAAACGAGATATTCAAAAGAAATCTCACGAAAATCCCGTCCAAACAAGACGAATGGAGCCTCCGCAGACACACGCAAATGCAGAGCATCTGGAGAAGCAGCATCGCACTTCGTCGGGATTCTACACGACCACTTCATTCCCGTCGCCCCCCCCCCCGGCTCCGCAAGCGCGCGGAGGGTCGAAGAACAAGCCGTTCGTCTTGAAGCGGCCGTGTAAAACATCCCCGCCTTGCGTCATCGCCACATACCGCGAATCCCGTGGTCACGACGCCCAGCGCCGCGCAGCGCCGCCCCGCGTCGCAGAGCGTCCCCCAGCGCCGCGCCGCGTCATCGTACAGTCGCTGCTCGCAGATGGCACCACCTGCGATCAACCAACAGTCCGTATTCACTGGGGCTAATTAGCATCTTTCACAGGAGTTACTTTTTCCATGAAATATGTCAATGATAACAACAACAGCAATAATAACAATAAAAATAACAATAACAATAAAAAATAACAGATACAATAAAAATTAAAATAACCAATAAAAATAACAATAACAATAAAAATAACCAATAACCAATAAAAATAACAAATAACAATAAAAATAACATAACAATAAAATAACAATAACAATAAAAATAACCCAATAACAATAAAAATAAACAATAACAATAAAAATACAATAACCAATAAAAATAAACAATAACAATTAAAAATAACAATTAACAATAAAAATAACAATAACAAGAAAAATAACAATAACAATAACAAATAAAAATAACAATAAAAACTAACAATAACAATTAAATAACAATAACAATAAAAATAACAATACAATAAAAAATAAAAACAACAATAAAAATAAAAACAACAATAACAATTTAAAAATAAAACAACATAAAATAAAACAAACAATAAAAATAAAACAACAAAAAAATAAAAAAAACAATAAAAATAAAAACAACAATAAAAATAAAAACAACAATAAAAATAAAAACAACAATAAAAATAAAAAAACAACAATAAAAATAAAAACAACAATAAAAATAAAAACAACAACAAAAATAAAACCAACCAACAAAAAAATAAAACAACAAAAATAAAAAACAACAAAAAATAAAACAACAAAAATAAAAACAACAAAAAAATAAAACAACAAAAATAAAAACAACAAAAATAAAAACAACAAAATAAAAACAACAAAAAATAAAAACAACAAAATAAAAACAACAAAAATAAAAAGCAACAAAATAAAAAACAATAAAAATAAAAAACAATTAAAATTAAAAACAATTAAAAAACATAAAAACAATAAAAACAATAAAAAACAATAAAAACAATAAAACATAAAAACAATAAAAACAATAAAAACATAAAAACAATAAAAACAATAAAAAACAATAAAAACCAATAAAACAATAAAAAACATAAAAACAAAAAAACAATAAAAACAATAAAAACAATAAAAACAATAAAAATAATAAAAATAATAAAAATAATAAAAATAATAAAAATATCGGTTCTGAGGCGCAGACGGTTGCGCCAGCCGTTGTCTGCATCGAGGAGATTGCAGGTTCGTGTCCTGCGTAGTTATGGTCGTATGTGCGCTTGTCCCTTCACCCCTCAACATCATCCTATTATCTCGTAATTCACTCTTCTAGGCGTAAGAAGCTTGTCGTACTGATCAGTTGAAAATATGATACTGGAAAAATTGCACACGTTAATCTTGCAGCGTGGTAAGTAATGGCCTTCACGCCAATAATAATAACAACAACAACAACAACAACAATTATTATTATTATTATTATTATTATTATTATTATTATTATTATTATGTATTAGATATTTCAGGGTTGGATTAATCAGACTTTTGCCTCCTAGAGGTATTTAAAGGCCTGGGCCCTGTTTTTTTTATTATCTACGCCTAGGGGTGAAGGAGACATATTCCCACCACCGTATCTAGCATACTTGGCCTGCTTTCGATTTTCGTTTGTCACAGCTATAAACTGAGACGGTTGTATTAGAAAGCTACACGTCTATTGTTTTCTCCAACCGGGAATCGAACCATGGAAAGCTAGTATTAATAGTAGTAGAGTAATATTAATACTTATTATTATTATTATTATTATTATTATTATTATTATTATTATTATTATTATTATTATTATTATAATTATAATTATAATTATAATTTAATAATACTAATATATAATTTAATGATAATAATAATACAAATTTCTACATGAGAACATACTCATGAGATTGCAATTACTCGCAAGTTTATAGAATTGGCAGGTATACTACAATACATACATCATTTACGCAAAATTAACATTTTATAAATTTATTGCAAAATGTTCGAAGATTACAAATCATGAGGCGAATAGTTAAGGGAAAGAATAATTCAGAGAAAAAATTTAAAAAAGGAAAGGAGAAACAATGAAAAATAAGAAAATCAAGTCAAGCAAATTTCAGACGAATTGAGCCGTTCCACTACATTATATAGAGCCTTAATTTATTGTCCTTAGAATATTACTAGACACGATAAATTAAGACTGCTCAAGATTGTTTACCAATAGGCCTCTCCATTTTCTTTCAACACAACCCTACGAGACAATGGCAATCGCCCAAAATCTTTTTCTGCGCACCGAAATGGATTCGTATTCAATGGAGTCTGTCACAAACCTGCATAAAAAATGAACCGAACACAGTAACAAAATTTGAAACATTTTACTTTCGTAAAAGGCTGATCGTTCTCCGAGGAATCGAGCCGGACTGAACGGGACGTCCTCTTCAGTTTCACGCTGGAAATGGGAGGAAAGTGTCGAGAGGCCGTCGCGCAGAAAAGCGAGGGATTTTTCAACTTTCCCCCCACCAGTAGCCTTGGCGAGTCGGGAGTTTATTGTCATGTTGGGGTATATGCGCCGCAGCTCTTTGGCTTATGCGGCAAAGAACGGGGATGAAGCCGACGCTTTGGCCGGCAATCTAAGATTTACATTTAATGACACTTTATTAAATGGCTTTATATTGATTATTTTGTTTTCTTGATTTTTGTTTTTTCGTTCACTCTCACATTCACACTGGGTTCTATTTACACTCGACACACGCACTTCACACGACTCTATATACTGTAACGTATTAGCCAGCGTGCCTCGTGGCATCTATTTGGGGACGCTTTGTAGAGGATTAGCCTCGCCAGAGGAATGAAAGAAGGGTTTTTCCGTAAAGCAAGAACACGGAAACGGGAGACAAGGCTTTGGGGTCTTTCGGTCTTTAGAAACCTTCAATTATTATAACTGCGGTGGGGGTGGCGTGACGTAGTAGGTCACGTGAGCCTCGTCTATATAACGGAGTGCTCAGAGCCAGTGGAGGGGTTCTGGAGACAGTGGGAGAACCTCGTGCATGTGCACAAAACTTGGCGCCACGACGGTGCATATGCGAGCCAGGCTCGCGAGGCAAGTCACGAGTTGACGAAGCCTGCGGAGGACTTTGTGTCCTTGGGTGACTGCTGTCACGGGGGAGCGATGCTGTGTGCGTGTTCCAAGGTGAGGAGTGTGAGTGCCACGATTCACGCCGATTCTCAATCGGATAAGATCGCTCCTGCGATCGACGCAAACCATCCGTTGGTACGCCAAAGCGGAATTTGTATCCTAGTGTGACATCCGGTCACGGAAGCTAGGCTTTGTGCGCGCTTCAGAAGTAGGAGTGGCGAATGCCACAATCGAAACAGATCAATTGGGTTTGAATAGCTCTCGCGATCAGGGGATAGTAGGTCTATCAGAGCTAGGGTGTAAGAAGGAAATTAATTGTAAACATTTGTTGTGTTTTCTTTGTTAATAAATATATTTGTTTTATGAGCTTATTATAGCTCTGTGTCAGTGTTCGCTATGAGTATCCATGACGTCACAATACACACTATAAACACGATATACACTAAAGCGAGGGAAGGCGAGTGGCCGGTCTCCGGAGCTGCGGGCGCCGCTGGCTGGCGCTTTCCTTCGGCCGCCCCCGCGCAGGTTTCGCGCCGCACGCCCCGGCGAGACGCGCTTTCCTGCAAGTCACGGGGCGCTCTCCACAGCCCTCGTGTCTCGATTACATTGCGCATCGTGACGCCATAATGGTATGTACAGACACTTTCCACGACGGTTTGCGAGTTCCCCTTCTTTCCCCTCCGAATTTTGTGGGTTCTCAAGCACCGTATCTTTCCGCAAACGTTGTTTGCTTTTGTAAGGAAAAACACTATATTCACTTGAGTTTTGTATTTTTTTTAAATCGGAAAGCTATTACAATAGCCAAGCATATATCAATGTTAAAGAGAATAATTTTATACTCTGTAGCATTGAGAATAATCAGATGTACAGATCGTGATTAACGTTATTTAACTGCATTATTTCGATAAACACGATACAAAAAGTGTCAAGCTGAACTTGTATCTAGTATTTTTAAACACCATTCTACATGTAATAACTTTCCGGATATTTCATAAAACCATTGATGTGGGAAAGTTAAATTAATAAATATATCAAAACGCATGATTTTATTAGAGGTTATGGTTATTACTGTTGCTCTATCTTGGATTAACGCATTTCTGCAGCCACTACTAAACTCTCAAATTGTATTTATGAATTTCCATTTATACCAACTCAGTCCCACACACACTTACTTTCTTACTTTCTCGCCCATAGAGCCATAAATAAGGAAAAGAGTCTGAGAAGACGCTCTATTTTTAAACTTCATTCCACAAAGCAGTATAATAAAAAAACTAATGGTGAATCATTACAGAATGTTAGTAATTGTAGTCTCCTAAGGGTTGAGAATAATCAGCAAATATACTTGGTCTTCTGACGAGTAACCGCTTTGGCTTTACACCTCTTCGTGCAGAGAGAACCACGCTAGCAATTCGCTCTCTGGGACGTGAGAGACGAAGCAACGCAAAAACAGACACCTCAAGCACGTGAGGCGCACTGCGTGACTGGCCAAACAAGAAGAAAGTAGCTACGCAAAGTTCACACGATTTTGTCGGAAAGTTATTTGCTTTGGAATGCTCCATTCTACTTAAATATATATCTCCTTGTTTCGCCTGAAGAACATTTTCAGGGAAGATGCGTCAAAAAATGTGGCAATACATGTAAGTTTGTATGCCATAAGGTTTTTAAAATGCACATCCCACAATGGGTTTTTGATTCACTGTTAGCGTTTTACTGAAAGTGTTTCATTGCATTAACACGTTATTTGATGTCCGAAGTTTAAGAATCTTCGGCACAACTTTGGTTCGATCAATTTGAAATTTACTTTTTCCTAAACTTAATGCAGCCAACGTTATGAATGCTGCAGAAACTTTATCTCGAGATTTGGTCAAAAACTCATTTTGGAACCCTACGGCAATAATTTTTTTCTTTTTCTCTCGAAAGTGTCGTTCAGC